CTACTTGCTCTGCTGGGCCGTAAACTCGGAAGAATTTCGAAAATTAGAGTGAAAGCTTTTATAGGAGACGAAGCAAAAGTTTTCACGCCAAGGATGCAAACCCACGAGAATTTGGCTTTGAAGCGAGACCACTACCACTAGGCCACGGTGACACTGGCCAATGAGCGATCAGCAGCGCTTACGAGACAAAACCGGGATTTCGCAAACTTTGACCGCCCAGAACTCGTCTGGGAGGTCCCCGTAGCACTTTTAATCTGCATATTCGTAATCAGCATTCGAGGCTCTATCGATGTACCTAGGTCTCCATTCAAAGTTCCATGGGAAGTTCAAACCATTCCCTTGTAAGTTAGACGGAGTCCAGGCACCTGAGCAATCCAGTCGAGCGACGACGCGCTACTTCGAGTTGCTCGGTTGGAACCGCCAGCGCTCCACCGGTAATCACGGGCTGCTTGCAGCGGTCCAAATTAGCGGTGGAGTGCGGTCGGTCGTAGCCGCGCATCTCGGTCATGCCGCGTAGGATGACTCAAGTCGGAGAGAACAAACTTTTCTAAAAAGTTCTCCAAACTGCGTGGTTTTTCTAGTTTCTAGCCTTCATCTTCCTCATATTTGTGTTCTTGTAGAAAGAGAAGAAGCCGCTGCTGTTTCGACCACGAATGCGAGGGAAATTCACATACGAGTACATTTGTTATGGCTGTTTCCATCGGTACGGAATTTTAGCCTTTGCTACGGTATGCTCTGCTGACTGAATATGTTGGATTTTCACTCGAGTTCTCCCTTTAGACATATCGGCGTAGGTGAAGATTTCATAGCTGTGAATCTGGAACTTCATGGTCCATCCTTAGAGGATGGCTTAGAACATTATGTAAATGGCGAACTACTGGAAGGAGAGAACGCGTATTTCTGTAGTAAATGTGAAGAGAAGGTAAGCGTTAATTTGTCAAAAAGAGCTAAAATTACAAAAACAACTCACTCCAGAGGAATACACTCCGACGTGGTTCATTTTCCGAATTGCCAAATACATTAGCGATTCAACTGAAAAGGTTCTCATACGATATCAATGGTCGTGTAGATAAAAAGAATGACTACTGCGCGGTACGGTGAAATTTCTGTTTTTTGAGAAATAAGGCAGTGTTCTGGAGATCTCTTTTATAGTTTCCGATGCTTCTTGACATGACGCCTTATTGTACGCAAGCACGAGCTGTCTGTGACCAAGATCTGAAGTCTCTCTTTGACGATGTGAGTACTTCCCTGTCTTTTCAGTAAATTCCCGTGCTTGGAAAGAGGGGAAGGGTGGGCAGATGTTTAAAAGTTGTACCACTGTTATTTATTCGGCATTAAAGGTATTTGTAAAGTTACGTATCAAATAATGTTCCCTACTGGGATTACTGTAGTCACTGAATATTTCTGCCTTTGAGAGATAGCCAGGACTAACTGGAAGCAAAGCAACTGGCAGGTATTCCTCTGACCTGATTCGGTCCAGCTTTCGAGAGGATTTTGAAGATGGCGTAACTTAGCGCAATGTCCCTAAGGGAGGACGGTTCCCTTGGATTTCTCGTTCGCATGAACGAACTCAGTAGGAACCAGGTCATGCGTGTCGAGGATTCCTCATTGGGAGTATGGAGAAGAGTCGTACTTTAGTCTCTTTGTAAAGAAAAGAGATGTGCGTCGACGGGAATTGTTTAAGGGATTTTGAGAAAAAGGTGGAGAGTTTTGTTTTTTTTTCACGCGGGAGGGGGGGGGGGGGAACCATCGCGTTCACTGAGGCTCGTACAGGCCTTTTATGAGTAGCAGTGAATTACTAAGAATAAAGTGGTTCATTTGCACCATTGCGTAACTCTCAAGAATGTACGGATCTCTTTTTGGTGAAAGCTGTGAATGGCTCCTAAGCCTAACAGCGCCGGAAGTCATGCTTCGATAGGAACACATGCAAAGTTTGCGTGAATTGGGAAAAGTTTCTGGGTACCTTAACGGTTGTATTAGAA